CCAATAAGCAGCATCATGATAAATGGAGAAAAGATTGAGGTTGTCAAAGAATACATGTTGCTTGGTTCATCGACGCCAATGGAAACAGCAGTCAGGACATTAGATGACATGTAGCCTTGGGCAGGTTGGCTGTGAAGGAACTCTTTCAAGTGCTGAAGAGCAAGGATGTCTCCTTGAGGACTAAGATGCGCCTGCCACAGGCCATGATATTTCCAATTGCCTTGTATGCATGTGAGAGCTGAACAATGAATAGGGAAGACCAAAGAAGAGTTGATGCTTTTGAGTTGTGATGCTGGCAAAGAAAGCTGAAAGTACTATGGACTGCTAAAAGAACTAACAGATCTGTCCTGGAGGAAGTGTAGCTAAAATCCTCCTTGGAAGTGAGAATGGCCAGACTTCGTCTAATCTAATTTGGTCATGTTGTCAGAGGGGACCATTCCCTGGAGAAAGATGTAAAGCTTGGTAAGGTGGAGGGTCAACGAAAGAAGGGAAGGCCTTTGATGAGATGGATTGACATGGTGGCTGTGACAATAGGCTCAAGTATAACAAGGATCATGGAGCTGGTGCAGGAATGGGTGGTGTTTCATTCTGTTGTGCATGGGGTCACTATGAGTAGGAAATGACTTGACAGCACCTAACAACAACATGTAGGGGAGAGTGTGCCCAAGACCATGTATAGGCTTGGCAGACAATGTTTCTACAAGTGTACTTGTATGTTCTGTAAGAATTCTCAGGTATATAGTAGAGCTGACAAGGGACAAAGTTCTAGTTACTTCTTGGGCACAGCCAGCTACTCAGGGGGAGTGAGTAGTTGGATCTGTGGGCTTGGGACCAAAGTTTCAGGGGACATCAAGCTCAATTGGCATAACATACCACACAAAATACTGTTCCACATCCTATTGTGGTGAGTAGTGACTGGGATCTTAAAAGCTTGCAAACAGCCAATTAGGTGCAATGATGTGTGTCTCTTTGTTCAGAAAAAAAGGAAGAGTGAAGAAAACCAAAGATTCATGGAAAGAATTAGTCCCAGCGACTGGTACACCATACGATCCTCACCCTGTATGACTATGAGACCAGAAGAACTACATGGTGCCCAGCTATCACTGTCAACCACTCAGAGGGGGATCTATGTAGGAGATCCTGGATAGAGTGGGAGACAATGTGGAACAAAACTCAAAATCACTTGGGGGGAAAAAAAAAGGACCAGTTTTGCTAGTCTGATACAGCCTGATGGAACCACTGAGACTATGACCCCTAGCTGCCCTTCAGGTCTGGAATTGAACCCATTCCTGTGGCTTCCAGCCAAGTAAAAGATAGGCAAATGAGGTGAACATTTGGTAGATATACTCTTTTGAGAGAATAAGCATGGCAGAAAGAAAGGCTGTTTACGCACAGGGAGACAGCTCAGGGGGCAGGAGTGCATGGAGGGAAGGAGGAAAGAGTTAACTATGAGGAGGAAGTGAGAGGGGAGTTGTTGCATTGTGGTAAATTGTAGTCAATGTCATGAGATAAAGTGTATATGAACTGCTGCATGGAAAGTGAATTTGCTCTGTAAATATTCGCCTTAATCACAATTAAAAAAAAAAAAAAGAGAGAGAGAGAGAAAGAGACAGAGAAGAGCCCAAAATTTCAAAAGGCAGAGAGCAGAGAGGCACATTCCCAGAAGACAGAACAGTTCCTGCATTCTTTACGATGATATTTTTAGTTTTATATTGGAGAGCTTTACAAATTTAGTGTTGAGCAGCCTGTGTGGTGCAAATAGTTAAATGCTTACCTACCAGCCTAAACATTGGTGGTTAGAACTCATGCAAGGGCATCTTAAGAGACAGGCCTAGTGACCTGCTTTTGAAAAGTCATAGCTTTGAAAACTCTGCGGTGTTCTACTTTGCACACATGGGGTCTCCCAGAGTCAGAATCAATTCCACAGCAATAAACAAAAATTAATTGCATTCAGAATTAAATAACATTTACCAGAAAAGAACAATGCCTTTGATGAGTATAAAAAGCAGACTCACTGACATTGAGTTGATTCTGACTCATAGTGACCCCATTGGATATACAAGGCTGTAAATCTTCATGGAAGTAGATTGCCTCATCTTCTTCCCATGGAAATGCTGGTGGTTTTGAGCCACTGACCTGGTTAGCAGCCAAATGCTTTACCCACTCTGCCACCAGTTGTTGTTGTTTGCCATCGAGTCGGACCCAACTCGTAGCGACCCCTCCTTGGCTTTCTGAGGTGGTATCACTATGGAAGTAGATTGCCCAGCCTTCCTTCCGAGGAGTAACTGGTGGGTTTGAACCACCAGCCTTCTGGTAAGCAGTCAAGTGCCTTAGGCACTATGCTACCAGAACTCCCATCCCTATAAAAAGGAGAAGCAGAGGATAATTTCTAGATCAAATATGTCTTCTTTTACTATACCACAATATGATGGCAGCAAACTGCAAATTACAGGCTCCTTGTATTTATTTATTTATTTACCAAATCAAACTATGTTACTAGAATAAAGATCACTGCAATATTAATTTGTGGGACACCTGCTGCTTTTAAACCATGAGATACAAATATTGTCCTGACATAGTCTGTTCTCTCAAGGAACTCACAAGTGTGATAGGCATACACCCAGACAATTTTTATAATATACGACAAGTTTTTGATGGTTTTTACAGAAGCTTAGATGAAGAGCTCTTACCCTAATTGGAGGTTAAGGTAAGATTTCCCTGAGGAGATGATGGCTGAACTGACTTTCAATCAGCCCCAATTACATAGATAAAAAACAAGATGTAAAGTGACAAATACCATAAAAGAATGTTATAGATTGAATTGAATCTCTCCCCCTAAATATCTGTTGGAATTCTCTCCCTTCTACTTGTGTATGTGATGTCATTTGGGAATAGAGTTGCTATGTTAGTGAAGCCATGTAAGTGTAAGTTGTGTCCTGAACTTAATCACTTCTGTGTTGTAAAAAGAGCAGATTAGAAATAAGCATATCAGGGGAAACAGACTACCAGATGATGACAACAGAGGCAGTTGCCCAGAAACTCCAGGACTGCTGGCAACTAGAAGCTGAAATCAACAAGGAGGACCCTGTCTTAAAGCCACACTTTGAATTTGGACTTCAGTCTCTTGAACTATGAGAGAACAAAACTCTGCTCGTTAAAGCCACCTATTTGTGGTATTTCAGTTACAATAACACCAGGAAACTAAGACAAGGAGCAAAAACATTAGTTTGTATAATGGGAAAAAAAAAAAAAAAAAAGGTTAGTAGAATCAAATGCAAGGAAAATAGTTATATATTTCTGGACAAATTAATTCATTTGATGTCAATTTATTTATTAACACCTGCTACATGTTGAGCTTCCATCTAGGTATACTGGGGCTCTGGTAGCATAGTGCCTAAGGTATTTGACTTCTAACTAGAAGGCTGGTGGTTCAAACCCACCAGCTACTCCTTGGAAGGAAGACTGGGCAGTCAGCTTCCATAGAGATACTGCCTCAGAAACCAAAGGAGGGTCACTATGAGTTGGAAACTACTAAACGGCAGTGATATAGAAAGAATAAAATACACAAAAATTCTGCAATAACTATATAATATAATGTCACATAATTATATTCTTTCTAAAGAAAAACAAAGGTGCTCTGGTGGCACTGTGGTTAAGTCATTGGGCTGCTAACCAAAAGATAGGCAGTTCAAACCCCACCAGCCACTCCACATGAGGATGATGAGGAAATATACTTCCATAAAGATTGGAAACTGGATGGGGGTGGGGTCATTGTGAGTCAGAATCCACTCAAAGACAGTGGGTTAGAGAAAAGCAAAGCAGGATAAATGATGGGGAGTGGTAGACAAAGAAGATGGAACTTGAGAGGTAGTAATATTTTAGGTAATGTCACCAGGGTATATCAGATGATTCTGGGGATAAAATGATAGACAGAGGCTATAATTACACTCATGGCTGAAGTTAATTAGCAAGCTAACAAAGAAAATTCACTTACCAGCACTTGCCCCACAAAAGTCTGTGCAGAAAGCAACATTTGTATATGATCACGAAAGACTCCCTGGAAGTAGATTATTTTTGAATGTTTATTTTTGATGCTTTCCTTTACGAGTAGTTTCTGTAAGCAACAGAAATGAATTAAGTGAGTAAGCTAGTTCTCAGAGAAAGAAAGCTGCTGTATTTGTGTGGATGGAGCCTCTTGCTGGGTTATCAGCCAGGAATTGCTCCACCTTGTTTAATCCAAGGAACTCTGATGTTATTTATTCATTATTCCATAAAGAAAATTTTACTGGATTTGCATTTTACTATGTGACTTTGTAATTCTGAACTCTATGGTTTTCATTTTCATCCTGCTGGTCTCCATCCAGACCCTGCAAACTGCCATTATTGAAATGATCAGGATTGGGAGCAGCATACTACCTTCTGCTCTGGAAATACATGCCTTAACATTTTCTATCAAGATGCAATGACAAAAAAAGATTACCAACCGATTTTTAGGTGACTACTTAAGTATCTGTGAAGAGAGAAATAAAGAAGAGTCAGTAATTTTATGTTGCTTTCGATCCCTTATCTGGTATCACTTCCTGAAATTATAACCCTCTTCATATCTTCAAAATGCCTTTCTTTGTATCATTGAAATGTAATAAATAAATATATTGTTAACTATAATAAATTAATAAATATATTAATAAATATAATAAATATATATTTTATATAATAAATAATAACTCTATGAGGTAGATATAATGGGTATTAAATCCACACTCAGCACCCAGCAGAGCTGTGGGAAAAAAACCTGATGATCTGCTTCCCTTAAGATTACAGCCAAGCAAACCATATGGAGCACTTCTACTGTAACACCAGCATCACCATGAGTCAGAATTGACTCAAGGGCAACTCACAACATCAAGAACATATAGGTAAGGACCTGAGATACAGAGAAATTAAGTGTATTGTCCAAGATGAGGTGATAAGGAAAGGCTGGGTTCTACTGGTACCCATGTTTTTTTTATATAGTCTTGAACCTCTATCAAGGAAGACACAAACTAGGACTGACTGCTTCATGCTGAAATCCTCTGACTTTCAGAAAAGCTCATTTAATGTAAAATCAAGGTTTTGAAATAGCTTATTTTTCTCACTAATTTTCATGAATGGTATAATGGCAGGTCTCATTAAATGACTCTTTGATAGAGTTTATATCCTGATCAATGATTTGTTCTCTAATTATCAGTCTTATCAGGCACTCCTGAGATGTCTGAGAACTTATTTTTTAACTATTCAATATGATATTAATATGGTACAGTCAGTTGAACATTTTAAACTTGGAAGTGCCATCTGTGGAAAAACCAGTTGGCCCTAAGATATAATAAAATTGTATTATGAATGTATAAATGTTGTCAAAATGTGCATTTAAGGGGAAAAATAACTCTCCAAGTAATTTTTAAAGTAATTTTTCAGAGTAGCTAGATTAAATGACATTTTTTTGCATTTGGTCAACTTTCCCAAACAAAGAGATAGCAATCTCAAATGAGAGAAGTCAGTCAATGTCTATCAAACTCTTTCTTTAAGGCTCAAAATCAGAATAGGATAGCACTCTGTTCAGACACCATCTTAACATTTTTTAATGTTTACTTGCTATTTGAAATTAAAAGGTACCCCTGGACTGAAAAGTAGATATGAATGACACTCATAGTAACACATTAAAAACACCAGCAAATATAAACAATTGTCTTCTCACATTTTTGTAATAACACAAAAATAAGTATAATGGAGAAGAAGACTCATTCTATGAAACAAGAAGACTAAGGTTCAGTTGTACATTAAAAAAAAAAAAAAAGGTAGAAATCAGGAAGTGTCTTTATCACACCCATTTGTATACCTGATCAGCCATGTTGAGAAGTCAGTATCCAATAATTTTTCCTCAATTTTTGTGCTACTGATTAAAGCCTTCATTCCAGAAATAATTATCAATGCAGTGAGCTTATCTAGCAACAAAACCTATTAGCTTCAATATAAAGTATTTTTTAATGAATTCCATGTTGCCAATAATTTTAAAAACTGAACTGATTATTATAAATTCTGCTATCTAATTTGAAAGTTTAGCATTAAAACCAATGTATCAAGCAAGTTTTCAATATTAATTGTAATAAAACACAGGTAAAATGTGTTCTGCTATGAAAATTACTCTAATCCATCAGAGAAAGAAACCAAGTTTAGAAAACAAAAATAGAGGCAGAGCACCATTGTAGCCAGTGCATAAGAATGCTCTTTACCTTCTATCACTAGTAGTAGAGGGGACATGGTGTAACATTGGGAAGTTTTATTTCAAGTTCTTAAGCAAAGTCTCATGTGGACAAGAGATCATTATTATGATCAACACCATTTGCCAACTATTACTCAACAAGTACCATACCTTGCAAAGCTGGTTTGAAGCATGAACCGTGTGTACATTTGCACCTGTGGTTGGATGACATGTGCAAATGTGAGTAGGTATTTGTGTGCAGGCATGTGCAAGTGGTATCTTGTGCTAGCATGGTATAGGAAAGGCAGGGTGTATATATAAGTTCATATGCATCAGGCATGTAAGATTTAGGAAAGTGAATTTGAAGTTAATGTCTTGTTCCTTTTGGCCTCCCTCCTAGTACCTAACAATTATTATTTGAAAATTCAAAATAGATACATATTTGTGGCAAAATCATGAAATTTTTCTTTGGAAGAATGACCTTTTCCAGAGCTAATGTTCCTCACCATCCACACAAAACATTGGTCCTCCAAGAGGGAGTGAAACAAGAGGCCTAGGGGGATCTTCAGTAGAGGCCTGGGATCCTGTTTACCACCCAAGCAGGTCCTGTCCTGTTCCAGGGCTCCAAATCAGAATGGGCTGTTACCCAGGAAAATTGAGTGAAGCCTAAGTCATTTTCTAAGCACAAACATATCCAAACCTGTCTCTGATCTTCATACAGAGGAATTCCAAATAAGGGAACTGACCAATAGAAATCTTCTTCCCTTCATGATTCGACATTTTTTTAAGCTCGTAGAGATGAGCCTGTAACAGTATAGGATGAAGAGTCCACAGAAAAAAGTCACAAAGGAGGAGAGAATAAATGCTACTTGGATTTCAGTTGGGCAGGCCATTTTTTTTTCCAATCTTTTCCCAATTTCCTTCTGTAGTTTGGCTTGGAACACAAGAAATGGAATGGTCAGGCTTTTATGATGTCATGACCACATGGTAATGATTCCAGCAATTAGATTTTATTGCATGGCAACATCCTAACGCCAGCTATAGTAACCAGCAGTTCCAAGAACAAGGGTCCGCTAACTACAGCAATGCTGACTCACTGGTTTCATGTTAGTGAACAGAGGTAGAAGGCTAGGGCCCACTACATGGATAATCAGAATTTTAGATCTGATTCTATTACTGCCTGTCTGTATAGTCTTGTGGAAATCATCCTTTGTGGCTGTGGTCAAGGTCCCTGAGGTGCACAAATGGTTTGTGCTTGATTATTAATCTAAAGGTTGGAGGTTCAAATCTACCTAGTAACTCTGCAGAAGAAAGTCCTGGAGATCTGCTTCCAGAGAGAGCCAAGAAAAACCCTGGGGAGTGCTTCTACTCTGTCATACATGGAATCATCATGAATTGAAATTGACTTGATGTCCAAGACTTTGTTTGATGGGAATGGCCAGCTGACTATCTCTTTGTTTTAGTCAGTCAAACAATTTCAAAACAAAAACTTTTAAATGAAATGATAACCAACCATCTGTGCCCATGAACTGTTGCTTCACCTGCAAAGATGCCAAATTCTCACTAATGTTGGAAGGACAGATGAAAGAAATATATCATGATATTTTTTCTTTTAATCTTTTAAATAAGAAAGACACTCTATAAATTGCAAGTATTGAAGAAGGTGATTTTACTAGTGCAATCATTGATTGATGTTATTGGAGCCTACAAATCTGTTTCCCTTATCTTTTCTTTTAGGACCCTCTCCTTTCTTACTTTTATTCCTGCCCTGACAGTAAAGTTTCAGAGGCAGAGTTCAGAAGGAGAGCGATTTATTTTCTCAGATGTTTTCAAAGCTATGAGAAATGTCATGCTTTCAGTATGTGTTGGTGGCAGGCAAAATGTCAGAGACATTGGCAGCCTAGTTGACCTCAGTTACTACAAAGATGACCTGACATGAGGTGATGGGACCCAGGAGAAATTGTGTTGTCTTGGAGCCTCCCATGACTCTGCTCTGTGCGGTAGACTATTTCTCAAAGACAACTATAGCGTTTTCTAGAACTGCTGCCACGGTTGTATTTTCTTCCTTTAAGCTTACCTATAATTTCATTGGGAGTTCTGGTGGTGTAGTGCCAAAGGCATTTGACTGCTAACCGAAGGCTGGCAGTGAAAACCCACCAGCCACTCCTTGGAAGGGAGATTGGACAATCTACTTCCGTATTGATATGGTCTCAGAAATCCAAGGAAGGGTTGATGTGAGTAGGATCCAAAACTATCATTGAGCTAGCTAAGAGACATGGGACAATATTGTAAAGAACTCTACTCTAGGAGGTAAGAGTCCTGAGTTCCAGCCCCAGTTCTTCTATTAAATTACTATGTGATGTCTAATAAGACATTCGTTTTCATAGTTTTATGTTAAAGATAAAAAACAAAACAAAACAAAATTGCTGTTGAATTGATTCCAACTCATAGCAAACTCATGTGTGTTAGAATACACTGTACTTCATAGGTTTTTTGTTTGTTTGTTTAATATCACTCCTCGGAAGGAAGATGGGGCAATCTACTTCTGTAGTGATACTGCCTCGGAAACCCAAGGAGGGGTCACTATGAGTCGGGTCTAACTCAATGGCACATAACAACAACAACAACAACAACATTTTGTGGAGGTTTTAGTGAAAGTTTACATAACAAATTAGATTCCCATTTGATAATTTTTGCAAAAATTGTTCAGTAACTATTACAGTTATCACAGTGTCTCAATATTCTATTTAATTGTATTCTGTTCCTTCCATTTCCAGTACTCTAGTTTCTCTACACCCTTATATTTGCTTTTGAGTAATTGTTGATCTTTGGATCTCATACTGATGGTTTTTAAGTATAGTACCCATCTTACAGGTAATAATATTTATTTCGTGTTATTTCACTAAAAGGTGAAGTCAGGATACGCTCGGTTCTAGGTTTATTTATTTATTTATTTATTTGTACCT